TGTTTATTTGGGATAATTTCTGATTCTGCCTCCTTTCCCTTTAACTCATAGCATTTATTTGAATGTTTTTGCCATTCACTTACTCATTCAGTATTTATTGAGCAGACTTGTAGCCACAATAACAGGCGGTAGAAAATCAAGATTCTGACACTTGAATGGTGTTTTATAGCTTACAGATCATTTTCACATAAATTAATTCACTCCTCAAGGTGCTCACTTCATTTCACCCAGTTCTTCCTCCCCTTTAACAGTCACATTTCTCTTAATCTTCCTCATTCCTCTGTGAAATCTTTGATGTACAGAATACTTACTAAGTGACTTGGGGGTGGGCTAAGGTGGGAAGCTGATTGGAAGAGAAGTTGTCGGTGGGGGAGGAGAAACCAATCAGAGGAGAACGTACATAGGTCCTGAGATGTTTTCCATACCCATCCTTTAGGATGAAAATACAAAGTCCTGTCTCTTATTAAGAAAGTACAGTTTTTTTAAGAAAAAAAACAGTGACTAGACACAGGGCTAGCGGTTTCTCAAATCCTCTCCCCCCCCTCTGGCAATGAGCATATTTAACATATTGAAGAAGCTAAGGTGTTTTTGTCCTCCTTTTCCTCATAATCAAACACTCAGGTGCTTAAGTCCCAGCATTCAAGTGCTCTAATTATAGGTCCTCTTGAATTTCATGACACCAACCAGTAGGCAAAAAATAGAACATACAAAATTAACCAGAAAATTATTCTTTCCATCTCATATCACCTATTTCATTCATTATCATGCCTCTCATGTACACCCTAGACATCTCTAAGTAAATACCAATGGCTCCCTGAAGTAGGCTAGCTTATGGTGGATGAATGTCATGTCAAGTGGTGGAGGAGGACGGTAGCATGCTGCTTGGGTCTAGGAATCCGGTAGCTCTCATTTGAACTTGCACTGATCTCTTCAAGTGTATTTTGGAGATTCATAGGATACAAGCAAATGATACAATAGATAAACTTCTGTAAGATGTACCAAACTCATTTCTAACCAAGACCCCTTTAACTTTCTTTACTCTCTGCCTGGCATGTTCTTCCTCCAGAACTTTCCATGTTGCTCTCTTTCTTCTTATTCAGCTCAATGTCACTTTCATGGAAAGGCCTTCTAGCCAATCTGTATACATAAAATAGTATCCCTAAACTCAGTCCCTCTATCTCATTTCACAGTTTTAAAGTGAACTTATCTACATACACGGTGTCCCAGAAAATGTATACCAGGTGTCTGTAGATTCAATTACCTTTTGAAAATGAAATGTATTTGAATAAATACTGGCTTTATAATTACTCAAAGTGTGTACACATTTTTTGGGGATATCCTATATTTATTATCTCTCTCCCTCATAAGTCTATAAGCTCCAAGAGGGCAGAGATTATTTTTTAATGCACTGCTTGGAACATAGTGTAGACCCTTAATAAATATGCTAGCCCTGTGTCTAGTCACTGTTTCTTTTCAAGTGACTGTACTTTCTTAATAGGAGACAGGACTTTGTATTTTCATCCTAAAGGATGGGGTATGGAAAACATCTCAGGACATATGTACGTTCTCCTCTGATTGGTGGAATAAACAAGCAACAGATATTTGTCAAATGCCCCTTATATGCAAGCTCTGCTCTAGGCACTGGGGATATACGGTAGCCCCCCCCCCACTTATCCATGAGGCATTTTTTCCATGAGCCCCCACCTCCAGTGGATGCCTGAAACCAAACCCTGTATATACTGTTTTTTTTCTTATACATATGATAAAGTTTAACTTATAAATGAGGCACAGTAAGAGATTAACAATTACTAATAAAATAAAACAATTATGATAATATACTGTAACAAAAGCTATGTGAATGTGGTCTCTCTCAAAAAAAATCTTATTGTTCTGTACTCACCCTTCCTGTGATTATTTGAGATGATAAAATACTTATTAAATCTAGATTTTTTACCTTTTCTCATAAAAGAAACACTTTATGAGTTCTCTTTGGCATATCCGAACTTCCAGCATCAGTACTCTTCTGCTTTGGAGCCATTATTAAGGAAAATAAGGGTTACTTGAACACAGACACTGATGTATCAACAGCTGATAACCAAGATGGCTACTGAGTGACTAACAGGCGGGTAGCAAACACTTCGTGAGTATGCTGGCTGGACAAAGGGATGATTCATGTCTGGGAGGAATGAAGTGGAAAGGTTCCAGATTTCATCGCACTACTCAGAATGGCTCGAAATTTAAAACTTATGAATTGTTTATCTCTGGAATTTTCCATTTAATGTCTTCACATTGAAACTAGGTAAAGTCAAATGGCAGATAAGAGGGGGACGACTAAGTACTGAATCAAACAGATCAAAATCTCTGAATTCTTGGGGTTTGTATTCAAATGCTGGGAAAAACAGTAAATAAATAAAGCAGAGAAGGGGAAGCTGCTTGGGTGGGCTGTGCTATTTGACGTAGGGTGATCAAGGGACGGTCTCGCTTCGGAGAACAGAAGAAGGTGAGAAGGCTGGCACCCGAACAAGGTGAGGAAGGTAAGAGGGGCAAAGGGGAAATTCGTCTTTCAGCAAAGAGAACAGGAAGTGCAAAGGCCCTGAGAAAAGTGGGGGGATAATGTGGTTAAAACCAGGGAGCTCCTGGGAAAGGGGGAGGAGATGGGTCTGAGAGGTACCAGTGGGGCAGCTCCAATCTTGTGGTCTAGGGGGCCCCTGGGAAACCATCGAAGGGCACTGGGCAGAGTGAGATGATATTACTTAGGTAACAGGATCCCTCTTTTTGTTCTGGTGATAAAAACCAACAACATCAACAACAACAACAACAACAACAACAACAAACTGTAGGGGGCAAAGGTGGAAGCAGTTAGGAGACCACTGATGCACTAATCCAGGCAAGAGAAGATAGGCAGCTTGGTCCAGGGTGGTGGCAGGGAGGTGGTGCAACATGTTAAAGGTCTGGAAGCATTCTGAAGGCAGAACTGACAGGAGTTGGTGATACAATGAACAAAGTAAAGGTACAAAAATTGTACAGAATTGATATGAACAAGGCTTTTCTTGGATTCATAGAAAAGAGACTGGTTTTGTCAAGCCCGTGACACTGATATAACAAACAGTAGTAGCACAACCACCTAGAGATTCAGCATTGGAACTGTGCCCTCTGTTATCACAAAGAACAAACAAAAAAGAGTGGTCAGATACACTCAATAGTAAACTCTGTACTTGCAATTAAGTGAGCTGGTTTGGGGCTTGATCTTATTTCAGCACGCTGACATGAATGAAATAATTGTCCAGCAGACATAAACATTTCAAAGGAAAAATGACACTTATCCATGAGGAGACTAAAGCTCATTGGATAACTACACAAAAGGATAAACACTATTATCAAGAACAAAGATCTCACCTGATTTATCCTGATTGATGATCTGTACTGCCAACAGACCTGATCACTGGTCAGACTTCTGACCCTCTGCCCTACCAGGTTACACCGAAAGCTGCCTTGGAGCTTAGTCAATCTTGCATTGTTCTCTATCTGGGAAATAGCTGGTACACAACAAACATTCATTCACCTGATGGTTTCTTAGCATCCTCACTACCCTCTTTGCGCTCTTTCCGCAGCGATCAGGAACACTCTTTTAGTTACCAAAGTTAGGGATCAGATAATCACTCACAAAGATGAAATTTCACAACGTGTTTCGCATTAGGCAAGGCACGTGGGAGGAGCATTCCAGAGGCCCCACCCGCCTGGGAAGCCAGGGAAAGTTTCCCGGGGCAGGAGGAGTGTTTTGGGCTGCAGTGTGACAGGTGAATGCGAACGTGGACCAAGCAGGGCTTAGAAGAGGCGATTTAGCAGAGGGATTTAAAAGGTAACACCCTGGGGCTAAAGGGAACCTGGAAAGAACTGAACGGGATGAATGACCGAGGCGCACTGGAGAGCAGGCTCCCCTGGACCTTTGGGAGGATACACACGCCAAGGCTGAAAGGTGGTTTTTGTACATTACGTTAGATCCGCAGATCCTCCGAGTTTTATCGCGCAGTTCACCGAGGGCTGACAGAAACCCAGAGAGGAAGCGTTCCCTTGCCGCACCACACTGCTTCAGCCTGGTCTCCACGGCGCTGTGGGAGCGGGTCGCGTGGGCCACTCAGCGGAAGGCGCCACGAACTCACTCCTTTATCTCACCGAAGTTCCCCATTGCTATTTCAGCTGATTTCCCCCAACTTAGAGGTCTCTCAACCAATGAGTTTGCCTCTTTATCTATCGGAGAGCATCCTATGTATACAGGACATCGAAGTTGGCTTTTTTTTGGTGGCTACTCGGGGTTCTCCTGGCTACTCGTCAATGCGAACAAAATGTGGCTGCCTTTGGGCTGGGGCGGCCACATCATCTCTTCAGATGTCTGTCTCTCTCGATAACTTTCAGCAACACGACATCTGACAACCGACTGGGGCAGTGCCACAGCTCCAGTGTTTACAGCGGCCAGTCCCGGAGGCTGCGGGTGCCAGAGGCCGCCATCCACTCCACCCTTCCCCCGACCCCACGAGTGCGGCAAGCCGGAAAGCTGAAGTCCTCCTTCTAGAGCCCCGGGGCGCCGGGTGCGGTTAGGAAGGGAAAATGGTGCGACAGTCCTTACAAAGAAGGCTCCTCTTCCGAGGCGGCCTGTCCCAGGCTCTGTCTCTCCACTTTGGAAGAGAAAGAAAGTTGGGCAGGAGTGGGAAAGGGCTGAAGCGGGGTGCGAAGAGGGATGGACGCGAGTAGTAGGCTCGTCCCCCGAGCGCGCGAGTCTGGGTGGAGCCAGTGGCCGGGCGCGGCGTCAGCGTTTAAAATGCAAATCGATTTCCCGCTCCAGGTCCCCCCTCCCGCCTCGGCAGCGAGGCTCCGCCGCTCTGCAGCCGCCCACGCCTCCTGCGCGCAGCGGCGCCCGAGCAGCAGGCTCTACTTAAGCGGCGCGCGGGGCGCGACCTGGCACTCGCCTGGAGCGCGCGGGCGAGGCGGCGGAGCGCGTCGGGGCTCTCGGGTGCGCACCGCGGCGCGCTCGCACCGCTGGGCTCCTGAGCTCCTGGCTGCGGTGGCGGTCAGAACGCAGGGCTGAGCAAGCATCTGGGAAAGGCAGCCGCAGCTCCCGTGCGCGGCCCCGCTTCCTGCCGCTACCCCAGCCCGGCTACCTCTTAGCCATGGCTCTGGCGAACAGCACCCGTGGATTACCCAACGGGGGTGGCGGGGGCGGTAGCGGCTCCTCATCCTCCTCGGCGGAGCCGCCGCTCTTCCCCGATATCGTGGAGCTGAATGTAGGGGGCCAGGTGTATGTGACTCGGCGCTGCACGGTGGTGTCCGTGCCGGACTCGCTGCTCTGGCGCATGTTCACGCAGCAGCAACCGCAGGAGCTGGCCCGGGACAGCAAAGGCCGCTTCTTTCTGGACAGAGACGGCTTCCTCTTCCGCTACATCCTGGATTACCTGCGGGACTTGCAGCTCGTGCTGCCAGACTACTTCCCCGAGCGCAGCCGGCTGCAGCGCGAGGCCGAGTACTTCGAGCTGCCCGAGCTCGTGCGTCGCCTCGGGGCGCCCCAGCAGCCCGGCCCGGGGCCACCGCTGCACCCAAGGCGCGGAGTGCAGAAGGAGGGCTCACTGGGAGACGAGCTGCTGTCGCTCGGCTACGCGGAGCCGGAGCAGCAGGAGGGTGCCTCGGCAGGAGCGCCGTCGCCCACACTGGAGCTGGCTAGCCGCAGCCCGTCCGGAGGCGCAGCGGGGCCGCTGCTCACGCCGTCCCAGTCGTTGGACGGGAGCCGGCGTTCGGGCTACATCACCATCGGCTATCGCGGCTCCTACACTATTGGGCGGGACGCGCAGGCGGACGCCAAGTTCCGGCGAGTGGCGCGCATCACCGTGTGCGGCAAGACATCTCTTGCCAAGGAGGTGTTCGGGGACACCCTGAACGAAAGCCGGGACCCCGACCGGCCCCCGGAGCGCTACACCTCGCGCTATTACCTCAAGTTCAACTTCCTGGAGCAGGCTTTCGATAAGCTGTCGGAGTCGGGCTTCCACATGGTGGCGTGCAGTTCCACGGGCACCTGCGCCTTCGCCAGCACCGACCAGAGCGAGGACAAGATCTGGACCAGCTACACCGAGTACGTCTTCTGCAGGGAGTGAGCTCCCCAGACCCCCTCCCGACTCCAGCGCACCCGTTCCCCCTCCTTCCTGCCTGGGAGAGGATTATAGATCTCCCCTCCAACCCCACGCCCTCCTATTACCCTGTTCCCCACTTCAGTAGCTGGGCTAGTCCCCTTGGTACCCCACTTGAGAACCTGGAGCCACAAATCCTTTCAGTGTTTTCGTCTTCTTTGGACCCCACGTAACTGTGAGAGCCCAGATGTAGTCCCTGCCCCCTGCCTCCCCCTTCCCAGATTGTCCTTCAGTCTGGATCTAGTGGGGGCAGTGTGGTCCGAAGTCACCAAGTACCTGGGGATGATCGAATTGTTCAGAACTTGATTGGACCCTGTCCAATGTGTAGAAGATTTCTTTGAAATCTTCTCAAGCCCTTATGACTCTTTCCAGGTTTAAGAGATCAGAATCGATAACACTAGGAATAGTGTTTTTGGCTTTCTTTAAAGATAGAGTTATAGAAGGCTGGATGAAAGACTGGACCTGAAATTAGGACCCCCTGAAGACACTTCAATGACTATAAATGAATAAAGTTTCGAAAAGTTACAGGTAGATGTAGGAGAAGAATCTAGTGCTGGCACAATGAAGGATCGTATCTTCTCCATGCAGAAAAAAGGTCTTCGCCTTTGACTTAAACTGGTAGAAAGTTACCTCCAGCCTGAGGAGGCACCGTTTTTCCTCTGCTCACTGCCAAAAGCCCTTGGTTGGACTGGTTGACATGGCAGCAGTTATTGGCAAGAGGGAGAAAGAGCCCTGCCTGACAAGGGCAGGACAGCCCAAGTCACCAAGTTCTTGGGGGAGTCACCCAGCAGTGACTAAATGGAGCTGGGTAGTGATGCACGTTGTCCTGGGGATTAGGAAAAGCCCAAGTATTCTTGCAGTGAATAGCAGTAGCTCTTAAGACTTGGGGGGTGGGAGGGGGTGGGGAGGGAGGAAGGAAGGCAGGACGGGTGGGAAGGGAAGAACGGACATACTCATTTATTATTTGAAAGTTGGAAGTTTGTATCATCCGTTTGAGTACATGCACATTAAAAAAATAGTACACAAAAACACGCAAAGCATTTTATAAAGATTAATAGTGTCTACTCTTAACGGGCAGTTTACTGAACTGTTTTGAGTCCTAAACTTAGAAGTTGCTAATACTTATATAACCTAACCAAAGAGTTACCCAGTAGGGCTTTAGTTTTTTAACTTTATTTTCTTGTTGATTATAAATCCTGCGTTAAAAACCTATTTACTTGGTCAAAATATATTTGATTTTGGTTACTTAGACTTAAGCTCTCTTATTTAAAATCCTAATTTTCTCCAAGCCCAGTCAATGTTGACTTCTGGGCAAACCTGAAAACTAGAAAATGTCACTTCTTTCAAGCGGATTCTTTGAGTTAAGGTGGAATCTTTTTGAGTGACAGAGCTGCAGAGAAATAGCACCAAGGCTGCCCATATGTAGATAGCTGTGAAATGGAGTATTTTAAAATGAAGACAAGCAGTTAAAAGTGAGCTGAGCAATAAAATGGTGTTTTAGGTAAATGCAACAGAAATGGAAGGAGACCTGGTTGCCTTATACCCTTTAACATGGAATAAATTCCCACTGCATATCCTATCTAAACCATAAGTGAAAGGAGATGAATCCTCATCTTTCATGCTGTGAGGCTCCTTTGAATATTCTGTGATGACTGAGAAGCCTTTCTTTTTTCATTTGTTTCAGCATTTTTCTCTGGAGTATGTTTTTAAAGATTTTGTAAGAGTCTCTTTTCAGTGTTTAAATTAGCGCTATTTTTCCTTCTTTTTAAAAATGAATCTTGTACTGTATCTTACTAGGTCCATAAGAGATGTTAAGAATTGGAACAGTTTTATTCTTAGACTCATGTGATCCAATCTGTATATACCATATATAAACATTTTACACAAATCATTTAGTTTTTTAATTCATTCACTAATGCTGTAAAATTTCCTATATTTGCCCCCAGTAACTTGCACCAGATGGTGTTTATACTAAGCAACATGTTTTGATGAGTTTCTTATATCCTTATTAATGGGAAAATTGGGTTAGGAAACAATATATAATTATAAAACTGAATTTGCTCCATACTTTTTTGCTTGAATATTAGTTGTATATTAATACTATGTCAATTAACTGTGTACTTAAATCAAGGTACCTGTATTTTTAATCCACTAATTTTTTTTTTTCAGTTGGGAAAGAAAAACATTTGAAGTCTTTTATTGTAGTTGCATTTTTAGAAAAGTCAAGCTAGCTCTAGATACAAAGACTGTAATCATAAGAGAAGTGGAAGTAGGAACCCAGTGTTTGCTTTAGTATTGAGTGTAATCTCAGATCAGGTGAGACATCAGAACTTATCTCTGTTTCAAGCCTGAAATAATTTAGGAGTGTCGCTCACTGGCCAAAAGTGAGTGGAGTGTCACAAGGAATTCTCCGTCCATATGGTGTTCTGTTAGATTGCTTAACAAAAATCACATAATTGAGAACATCTTAGGGGGCCAGATCAAAACCATCGACATATGGCAAGACTCTGAGTTTTTGATTTTCCTTGTTAAATCTGTACAACTCCCAGAGTAATGGGAAGCCACTCAGTTTTGTCTCTGCCACTAACATCACCATCCTTGGGGCCCTCCAGGGCTCCCTTTGCCCCTTTCATTATCTGAAAGACTGGGAATGTAATGGTTGGGGACAGTGAAGTAACCTCTTTTTCTAGGGATGGTTGTCCCCTGTAAAGTTGGAAGTGGGTACCTGAAAACATTCTACTTTTAGGCCAAAGTAAAGGTTGGGTTGGAAGCTCATTTTACATTGGGTAGAAAGTATAACTGAAGTAAGATGACTTGGCGTGGTCACTTCTGGGACCCTTCCTCTCCATGTGCTTTGGGTTAGAGAAGGACCCTTGATGGTCAACGAGTGGTCGGAGGGTTTGTTGGTTGTCACCTAAGAGTTTGGATGGGATATTGAGGATATTTGAATAAACCCTGTGAAGACAACATTCAAATAACTTGGGAGAATGTTGTAAATTATTCATGGAATTATGGCTGCATTAACTTGACTCAGTGTACATGCATTTACATATGTCATCGCTCTAATTACCATTTGATTCATTAATACAACTGAGTGACATTAGATTTTAATAATAAATTTAATTTTTTTTTAATTTTTAAAAAAGGAATAATTGTTGACGGTGGTTAAAAAAAACAACAGGTACCACGTTTAATGCTTTTGTACCAAGTATTTGACAAGTTGTCTGTTTTTTAATACATGTAGAATATGAACCATATTCATTCTGATTTTTCAAATTATAGGTTGTGGAAAATATTCCTTGAAGGTATGAGACAAAAATTATTTTCCCTTTCAATACTGTTTTTATTCTTATGTTTCTTATTTGGCTTTTTGCATCGATAGCAAAGTGACAATTTATAATACAAGCCTAATTGTCTTCTCTTTCAATCCAGAACCATATATATGTGGGGCCTGTTGCTTCTCTGAGGAAATGCGTAATCTGTGACTTCTCAGACAATATGGGCAACTGGCAATGCTCATAACATGTTCCAATTTTTATTGGAATTTTCTATGGAATGTTATTATTATATTGAAGCCATGTAAGGCGAAGCTTTGATAATTTCTTACTTTTAAATTATGGTAAATTCTAACCTAATATTCAAACATTTTTGTATTCCACATGAAAAATGCTAAATTACACTGCAGGCATTTAGAAGTATTGACTGGAGGGGTTGAATTCCTTAAGAATTTCTTTTATAGTCTAAATAATAAATACTTTTCTCAGTTGAATTAAATTTCTAAAATAGTAAACTGAATATTTGTATTATAAACCTACCAGAGTACATTCTTTGGAATTCTATTTTTTTTTTTTTTTTTCCTGTCTACAACTCATTTAAAAACTGAATTAGGTCACTTAAGTGACCTAATCTGTCTCTTGAGAAATAAATAAAATACTCTTGTGTTTCCAGGGGGTGTTGGTACCTGAAATAGGGTTTCCTACAGCCAGAAACAAGTTATGTTGAAGTTAACTTTACTTTGTCACAAGTCAGGATAATAAAAATCTAAGAGTATTAATGTTTGAAGATTTAGATTTTCTACTGGGGCCCTTGAAACTTGGAAGAAATTAAACCAGAATATTAAATTACAGTATTATCTTGTGTGGTAGGAAGACGGACTAGTTGACCAAGGATTCTTGTCACCTTAAACGTTTTGTGTGTGTTTTTTTTCCCCCAAGCGAAGTTTTTTATTTTAAATGTATTTTGACGTGTATGAACATTAATTGTAATGTAAGCTATTATACAACTGTCTTTGTGATTTTATAGGCAGGCAGATTTTGCTATTGATATTGAATAAAAATGCTGACAATCCATTTATGACCACACAAACAGCATTAGTGACATTTAAAGATAAAAGGTTGAAACATTCATCATGGATGGTAATTTTGAAGGTGCAAATTTTTTATGTTATTTGAAATTTTCCAGCCGTCTAAAAAACTCTTATCTGCTAAACAATGTAAAATTCCCACAGAGCTCTCTGGAATTATGAAATTGTTGACAATGCTGTCTTACGTATCGTAGAGCCATTTTCTCAAAATAGAAGGGGAACGGGAAAAAGTAATTATACAATTATCAGGCTTTTCTAATGAAACGGAAAACCAAGAAAAAAAAAAGCCCTCTATATTTTAAAAAAGGCGCTGATGAAGTCTTTTTAGACATGCCCAAATTTTAAATGAGAATTTCTTCAACCATCTAAATGCTCTAGAGAGTTTTGTCCTCCCTATTCACAACCAGTTGTATAACAGAAATACTGGATACTGTTTTCCTCCCAGTGTGTGAAGTAATGAATCATTGATTATGTGACTTGTTATATATTCTATTAAACACTAAAGAATAAAACATTCACTCCTTTAATTATTCCTCTTGGCTCCTGAGTATGGATTGGCTTAAACACTGGTCTGATTTTATT